GGGGGAGTGCGCTTGTCCACCATCGGCTTAGACTTCGGACGACGAGAGTCCGGAGGAAACAAGAAGTATAAAGTTTCGGTGATATTGTTGGCCAGCGTCTTGTATTGGTCTTGAGCTGTGACATTGGAGTTTGGCAGAAGAGAGTGGTCGGCATCTGGAAGTTTGTGTCGAAAAGCTTTCAGTTGTAAATCATTTAATTTAATTTTATAATTAAATTGCAATTTAGAGGTTATTCTGGGGCTTGATTTTATTAGAAGAGGAAAGTGATCGCTTGAGAGTGTGTCGTCCAGAGTGTGGCAGCTGATAAGAGAGAACACTTGTGGGGTGACTATGACTAAATCGATAATTGATATCGGGCTCCCCGGGGGCGTGCATAGAGTCGGTTTGTCATCATCGTTGCAGACGATTAAGTTGTGAAAGTCAAATAAAGCTGAGAGTTGTCTGCCCATTCCATCATTTGAGGGACATCCCCAGGATGTTGAGTGGGAGTTAAAGTCCTCCATAATCAGAGCTTGGATTTGAGTGGAGATGTATGTTAGTAGTTGGTCTAGAGTAATTTGAGGAGTATTAGTATTAGGGTGCCTGTATACGTTGACTACAAGACAGGGAGAGTCATTAATATAAATATTGATGCCAATCAATTCTAACGAATCATGTGTAAATTGTGAGAGATCGGCAATGTTAAATTTGATGTGTTTTTTGATAGCAATTGCAACGCCGCACCGTCCAGGGGCGTCGATGTCGTTTCTGACGAAGTGATATATTTTAGAAAGTATTTGGGAATCAGCGAGCAGCTTAGTTTCCTGCAAGCACCAGATATCAAAGGAATGTCTCGGATTATGTATTTCAGATAGTTTGCTGCGCAGGCCTCTGCAATTCCAGCAAGCTATTGAGATGTCTGAATCAACTCTAGTACGATTATTAAATGAGGGCATAATGTTGTAACTAAGAGAGATGTCAAGTTTTTTTTTTATATATATTAATGTGTAGTTTGATTTAATAATTAGTAATTGTAGTGTGGGCAAACATGGTGTTTGGCGGACGAATAAGATTAGAGGTCGGGTGATCTGTAAGAGAGATTAAATTCCGAAGAAAATCTGAAATAATGCTGTGAAAAGGTTGAGGAAAATCGGAATGAGAAATAGATTCTTTTGAAGATTTAATAAAGGCGGCGAGGGGAGAATTGTAATTTGGGGACGGATCGTCTTGGACCTTGCGTTGATTGTGATTGACGATGTTCGAGTAATTAGTGTGATTATTATCTAATAAGGCCACGCCGTTACCTGATAGTGACGGAGATCTTCCATTGGGATGTGTAAGCAGTTGATATCTCGGTTCCTCGTTTATACGAGACGTCATTTTGGACGTGTGGGTATTTCCAGGATATTCATTTCGGTTTTCTTTGATCCCGTGCTGGCGTGAGAGATGCGCCTGTGTGTTCTTGTTTCCGTAGTGGACATTGGAGTCTGAGTTTTTGAGTGTCTCCGAGTATGGTAGGTAAGAGTCATTATACGAGTTGAAAATGGAGAACCTGTTGGGGTTAATGGAGGGGGGGTTCGAGTTGACGATATGAGGAAGCATGGGAAAGTTACGGTATTCGGCGGGTCTTGCGGCATTAAATGTTGGAAAATCGTAGGAACCAGTGGCATTAGAGTTATGAAGCACTCTTTTCCTTGCTTCATTGAGTGAAATATTTTCGACTGCGGCAAGAGATTGTATATTTTTTTGCCTAATAAATAGTGGGCAATTAGACGAGGTCGAGAGATGATCTCCGTTGCAGTTGATGCATTTCGGAGGTAAGTCTTGCCTCTCACAAATTGTTTCCTCCCCGTGCGGAGGTTAACCGCACAGTCTGCATCGAGGGTTCCCCTTGCAGTATTTGCCGATATGGCCGATTCTGTAGCAATTGAAACAAGTCTTAATTCTAGGAATGAAAGGAGAGACGGCATGTAAGTCATAGTATAGAGTGACATGTTTAAGGAGAGATTGCCCTGCAAAT